CTCTCCTGCTGATGCTCAGGTGTATATCAGTATGAGTGTCTCTACTTTAAAGAGTCCTCTCCTGCTGATGCTCAGGTGTATATCAGTAGTGTAGTGTCTCTACTTTAAAGAGTCCTCTCCTGCTGATGTTCAGGTGTATATCAGTATGTAGTGTCTCTACTTTAAGAGTACTTCCTGTGGTGTTCAGGTGTATATCAGTATGTAGTGTCTCTACTTTAAAGAGTCCTCTCCTGCTGATGTTCAGGTGTATATCAGTATGTGAGTCTCTACTTTAAAGAGTCCTCTCCTGCTGGTGTTCAGGTGTATATCAGTATGTAGTGTCTCTACTTTAAAGAGTCCTCTCCTGCTGATGTTCAGGTGTATATCAGTGTATGTAGTGTCTCTACTTTAAAGAGTCCTCTCCTGCTGATGTTCAGGTGTATATCAGTTGTGAAGTGTCTCTACTTTAAAGAGTCCTCTCCTGCTGATGTTCAGGTGTAATCAGTGTAGTAGTGTCTCTACTTTAAAGAGTCCCTCTCTGCTGATGTTCAGGTGTATATCAGTATGTAGTGTCTCTATTTAAAGAGTCCTCTCCTGCTGATGTTCAGGTGTATATCAGATGTAGTGTCTCTACTTTAAAGAGTCCTCTCCTGGATGTTCAGGTGTATATCAGTATGTAGTGTCTCTACTTTAAAGAGTCCTCCTGCTGATGTTCAGGTGTATATCAGTATGTAGTGTCTCTACTTTAAAGAGTCCTCTCCTGCTGATGTTCAGGTGTATATCAGTATGTAGGTCTCTACTTTAAAGAGTCCTCTCCTGCTGATGTTCAGGTGTATATCAGTATGTAGTGTCTCTACTTTAAAGAGTCCTCTCCTGCTGATGTTCAGGTGTATATCAGTATGTAGTGTCTCTACTTTAAAGAGTCCTCTCCTGCTGTTCAGGTGTATATCAGTATGTAGTGTCTCTACTTTAAAGAGTCCTCTCCTGCTGATGTTCAGGTGTATATCAGTATGTAGTGTCTCTACTTTAAAGAGTCCTCTCCTGCTGTGATGTTCAGGTGTATATCAGTATGTAGTGTCTCTACTTTAAAGAGTCCTCTCCTGCTGATGTTCAGGTGTATATCAGTATGTAGTGTCTCTACTTTAAAGAGTCCTCTCCTGCTGATGTTCAGGTGTATATCAGTATGTAGTGTCTCTACTTTAAAGAGTCCTCTCCTGCTGATGTTCAGGTGTATATCAGTATGTAGTGTCTCTACTTTAAAGAGTCCTCTCCTGCTGATGTTCAGGTGTATATCAGTATGTAGTGTCTCTACTTTAAAGAGTCCTCTCCTGCTGATGTTCAGGTGTATATCAGTATGTAGTGTCTCTACTTTAAAGAGTCCTCTCCTGCTGATGTTCAGGTGTATATCAGTATGTAGTGTCTCTACTTTAAAGAGTCCTCTCCTGCTGATGTTCAGGTGTATATCAGTATGTAGTGTCTCTACTTTAAAGAGCCTCTCCTGCTGATGTTCAGGTGTATATCAGTATGTAGTGTCTCTACTTTAAGAGTCCTCTCCTGCTGATGTTCAGGTGTATATCAGTATGTAGTGTCTCTACTTTAAAGAGTCCTCTCCTGCTGATGTTCAGGTGTATATCAGTATGTAGTGTCTCTACTTTAAAGAGTCCTCTCCTGCTGATGTTCAGGTGTATATCAGTATGTAGTGTCTCTACTTTAAAGAGTCCTCTCCTGATGATGTTCAGGTGTATATCAGTATGTAGTGTCTCTACTTTAAAGAGTCCTCTCCTGCTGATGCTCAGGTGTATATCAGTATGTAGTGTCTCTACTTTAAAGAGTCCTCTCCTGCTGATGCTCAGGTGTATATCAGTATGTAGTGTCTCTACTTTAAAGAGTCCTCTCCTGCTGATGTTCAGGTGTATATCAGTATGTAGTGTCTCTACTTTAAAGAGTACTTCCTGCTGGTGTTCAGGTGTATATCAGTATGTAGTGTCTCTACTTTAAAGAGTCCTCTCCTGCTGATGTTCAGGTGTATATCAGTATGTAGAGTCTCTACTTTAAAGAGTCCTCTCCTGCTGGTGTTCAGGTGTATATCAGTATGTAGCGTCTCTACTTTAAAGAGTCCTCCTGCTGATGTTCAGGTGTATATCAGTATGTAGTGTCTCTACTTTAAAGAGTCCTCTCCTGCTGATGTTCAGGTGTATATCAGTATGTAGAGTCTCTACTTTAAAGAGTCCTCTCCTGCTGGTGTTCAGGTGTATATCAGTATGTAGCGTCTCTACTTTAAGAGTCCTCTCCTGCTGATGTTCAGGTGTATATCAGTATGTAGTGTCTCTACTTTAAAGAGTCCTCTCCTCTGATGTGAATGAACGTTAGAGTCAGTGAACGCCTCTCTGTCCGTCAGTCTGCTTTGTTCCTGCAGAGGTTAGAGTTCAGGCTTTGTTCTGGACCGCCTTTCAGTCGTGCGGCGGCCCATTAGAGGGTCCAGACCCACGCTGTGAGCCTCCTCCCTGCAGGTGCACGTCCTCTGCAGGGTTTCAGAACATACAAACATAATAACAATAGGGCTTTCAGTGGAAGAAATACAAAATGGAATCAAATGTTTCGAAAGTTGTATCTGGATTAAAAACTGGACCATTTCTTTTTTAATTGGGAGTTTAAAGTTCCCCAACAACCAAACTTTTTGAAGATCCCTAAATGAATCACTCAAGTTCCCCAACGCCCTTACTCACCTAAGTTCCCTAATCCCCTTATTTCAATCAATCAATCAATCAATCAATGTTTATTTATATAGCCCAATATCACAAATGTTACATTTGTCACAGTTTGTACAGAATATCAGTGACAATACGACCCCCTCTGTCCTTAGACCCTCTGTCCTTAGACCCTCTGTCCTTAGACCCTCTGTCCTCAGACCCTCTGTCCTTAGACCCTCTGTCCTCAGACCCTCTGTCCTTAGACCCTCTGTCCTTAGACCCTCTGTCCTTAGACCCTCTGTCCTCAGACCCTCTGTCCTTAGACCCTCTGTCCTCAGACCCTCTGTCCTTAGACCCTCTGTCCTTAGACCCTCTGTCCTTAGACCCTCTCTCTGTCCTTAGAGCCTCTGTCCTCAGACCCTCTGTCCTTAGACCCTCTGTCCTCAGACCCTCTGTCCTCAGACCCTCTGTCCTCAGACCCTCTGTCCTTAGACCCTCTGTCCTTAGACCCTCTGTCCTCAGACCCTCTGTCCTCAGACCCTCTGTCCTTAGACCCTCTGTCCTTAGACCCTCTGTCCTCAGACCCTCTGTCCTTAGACCCTCTGTCCTTAGACCCTCTGTCCTTAGACCCTCTCTCTGTCCTTAGAGCCTCTGTCCTCAGACCCTCTGTCCTCAGACCCTCTGTCCTCAGACCCTCTGTCCTTAGACCCTCTGTCCTTAGACCCTCTGTCCTCAGACCCTCTGTCCTCAGACCCTCTGTCCTCAGACCCTCTGTCCTCAGACCCTCTGTCCTCAGACCCTCTGTCCTTAGACCCTCTGTCCTCAGACCCTCTGTCCTTAGACCCTCTGTCCTTAGACCCCTCTGTCCTCAGACCCTCTGTCCTTAGACCCTCTCTCTGTCCTTAGACCCTCTGTCCTAAGACCCTCTGTCCTTAGACCCTCTGTCCTCAGACCCTCTGTCCTTAGACCCTCTGTCCTTAGACCCTCTGTCCTTAGACCCTCTGTCCTCAGACCCTCTGTCCTTAGACCCTCTCTCTGTCCTTAGACCCTCTGTCCTAAGACCCTCTGTCCTTAGACCCTCTGTCCTCAGACCCTCTGTCCTTAGACCCTCTGTCCTTAGACCCTCTGTCCTTAGACCCTCTGTCCTCAGACCCTCTGTCCTTAGACCCTCTCTCTGTCCTTAGACCCTCTGTCCTAAGACCCTCTGTCCTTAGACCCTCTCTCCTCAGACCCTCTGTCCTCAGACCCTCTGTCCTTAGACCCTCTGTCCTTAGACCCTCTGTCCTTAGACCCTCTGTCCTTAGAGCCTCTGTCCTCTGTCCTTAGACCCTCTGTCCTTAGACCCTCTGTCCTTAGACCCTCACATCGTACAAGGAAACACTTCCAGAGAAACCCCACAGTTTAAAGGAACATGGGAGAAACCTCAGGGAGAGCAACAGAGGAGGATCCCTCTCCCAGGACGGACACATGTGCAATAGATGCCGTGTGTCAATCAAAGAGATAATACATTTCACAGCGTAGGTAGACCACATGTTTGGAAATGCTTGTGTCTGTAATAAGAAGATGAATCCACGAGGATGTCAACAATCCTGTGGGAGCCATCAGGAAGTAGCATGATGAGAGTCAGGCAGGACCACAGAGACAGGTTCAGCCACGACTCCAAGTCCAGGACTCAGATCAGGACTCAGGACTCAGGACTCAGGTTCAGCCACGACTCAGAGTCCAGGACTCGGGACTCAGGATCCAGGACTCAGGACTCAGGACTCAGGATCAGCCACGACTCAGGATCCCGGCGTAGATAGACACCAAAAAGAGATTTGGGGAAGCTGGGTTATTGGGAACATGAGAGTACACAGGTACAGACAGAGAGAAGGAAGAAGTGAGGTGTCCCTCGACAGTCTAAGCCTATAGCAGCTAAACTAACGTGTCTACGTGCATGCACTCCCTTAGGATAGGGTGAGGGAAAGGGTAGCAGGTAAGAAGTAAGGAGCAGAGGTGGAGAGGCACAACGTGTCTTACTTACCTAAGTTCCCGAACGCAACTTTTATTTAAGTTCCCTAATCTCTTTATACTCACTTAAGTTCCCTTAGGCCCTTATTTAAGTTCCCTTATTTAAGTTTATTTAAGTTCCCTTATTTAAGTTTATTTAAGTTTCCTTATTTAAGTTTATTTAAGTTCCCTTATGCCCTTATACTCTCTTAAGTTCCCTTATGCCCTTATTGAAGTTCCCTAAACCCTTTATACTCTCTTAAATCCCTACTCTATGATCACCCTAAGTGCATGCTTGCATGCCTAACTCTAAAGTGTCTGTGATTTCCGAGCCGCCCCTGAATGCATCACAGTGTTTCTGGGGATGAGATCCAAACGCTGATGAAACGAGAGGATCTGAAGCACTGTTTGTTTTCTGTCTCTGGAGCGTTACCACGGTGACCGGCTGTGTTTAACAGCAGGTGAGGGCGGGAGGAAACTGCTGGAGCATGACAGGGAGTACAGAGAGAAACACACACACACACACACACACACACACACACACACACACACAGATTCCTGAGAGGTGGCGTCAGGGCAGCTGAACGTCCTCGGGGTCCGGTCAGGGCGGGTGGAGACAAGCGTGTTGTTTGGGCTGCAGGAACATTTCTTCTTCTGTTTCCTTGCTCTCTTCTTCAGTGTTTCCAGGTCAGACACACACACACACACACACACACACACACACACACACACACACACACACACACACACACACACACACACACACACACACACACACACACACACACACACACACACACACACACACACACACACACACACACACACACACACACACACATTCCCAAAGATATTGAAGTGACTGTTATTCTGTATTTATTGATTGTTGTGTGTTTATCTTAACGTGTGCAGATGTATAAATGTGTCTGTTGATTGTGTATATATAGGATATACATATTTTATACATATTTGTATTTTTGTATTCTGGATTGTTGGAAACGGTATTTCGATCTCTCTGTGTCCAAACTGAGAGATTAACACTAAAGTTGACTTTGACTGCAGAGAATATAGAGGATGCCTTAGTGTTGAGAGTTACGGACCCTCCTCCCCCAGACTTTACCACCACTGAGGGGCCAATAACCCCGGCCTGAGGCCCCAGTCTGCATCGGGTCCTCCGTCACACTCCAGAGTTCCCCAACACCCCCCCATCATTCAGGCTCCCCAACACCCCCCCATCATTCAGGCTCCCCAACACCCCCCCATCATTCAGGCTCCCCAACACCCCCCCATCATTCAGGCTCCCCAACGCCCCACCATCATTCAGGCTCCCCAACACCCCCCCATCATTCAGGGCTCCCCAACACCCCCCCATCATTCAGGCTCCCCAACACCCCCCCCATCATTCAGGCTCCCCAACACCCCCCCATCATTCAGGTTCCCCAACACCCCCCCATCATTCAGGCTCCCCAACACCCCCCCATCATTCAGGCTCCCCAACACCCCTCCATCATTCAGGCTCCCCAACACCCCCCCATCATTCAGGTTCCCCAACACCCCCCCATCATTCAGGCTCCCCAACACCCCCCCATCATTCAGGCTCCCCAACACCCCCCCATCATTCAGGCTCCCCAACACCCCCCATCATTCAGGCTCCCCAACACCCCTCCATCATTCAGGCTCCCCAACGCCCCCCCATCATTCAGGCTCCCCAACACCCCCCCATCATTCAGGCTCCCCAACACCCCCCCCATCATTCAGGCTCCCCAACACCCCCCCATCATTCAGGCTCCCCAACACCCCCCCATCATTCAGGCTCCCCAACGCCCCCCCATCATTCAGGCTCCCCAACGCCCCCCCATCATTCAGGTTCCCCAACACCCCTCCATCATTCAGGTTCCCCAACACCCCCCCATCATTCAGGCTCCCCAAACACCCCCCCATCATTCAGGTTCCCCAACACCCCCCCATCATTCAGGCTCCCCAACACCCCCCCCATCATTCAGGTTCCCCAACACCCCCCCATCATTCAGGTTCCCAACCCCCCCCCATCATTCAGGCTCCCCAACACCCCTCCATCATTCAGGCTCCCCAACACCCCTCCATCATTCAGGTTCCCCAACACCCCCCATCATTCAGGCTCCCCAACACCCCCCCATCATTCAGGTTCCCCAACACCCCCCCCATCATTCAGGCTCCCCAACACCCCCCCATCATTCAGGCTCCCCAACGCCCCACCATCATTCAGGCTCCCCAACACCCCCCCATCATTCAGGCTCCCCAACGCCCCCCCCATCATTCAGGTTCCCCAACCACCCCCCCATCATTCAGGCTCCCCAACACCCCCCCATCATTCAGGCTCCCCAACACCCCCCCATCATTCAGGTTCCCCAACACCCCCCCATCATTCAGGCTCCCCAACACCCCCCCATCATTCAGGCTCCCCAACACCCCTCCATCATTCAGGCTCCCCAACACCCCCCCATCATTCAGGCTCCCCAACACCCCCCCATCATTCAGGTTCCCCAACACCCCCCCCATCATTCAGGCTCCCCAACACCCCCCCATCATTCAGGTTCCCAACACCCCCCCATCATTCAGGTTCCCCAACACCCCCCCATCATTCAGGCTCCCCAACACCCCTCCATCATTCAGGCTCCCCAACACCCCTCCATCATTCAGGTTCCCCAACACCCCCCCCATCATTCAGGCTCCCCAACACCCCCCCATCATTCAGGTTCCCCAACACCCCCCCATCATTCAGGCTCCCCAACACCCCCCCATCATTCAGGCTCCCCAACGCCCCACCATCATTCAGGCTCCCCAACACCCCCCCATTCATTCAGGCTCCCCAACGCCCCCCCATCATTCAGGTTCCCCAACACCCCCCCATCATTCAGGCTCCCCAACACCCCCCCATCATCAGGCTCCCCAACACCCCCCCATCATTCAGGTTCCCCAACACCCCCCCCATCATTCAGGCTCCCCAACACCCCCCCATCATTCAAGCTCCCCAACGCCCCCCCATCATTCAGGCTCCCCAACACCCCTCCATCATTCAGGCTCCCCAACGCCCCCCCATCATTCAGGCTCCCCAACACCCCTCCATCATTCAGGCTCCCCAACACCCCTCCATCATTCAGGCTCCCCAACACCCCCCCATCATTCAGGCTCCCCAACACCCCCCCATCATTCAGGCTCCCCAACACCCCCCCATCATTCAGGCTCCCCAACACCCCCCCATCATTCAGGCTCCCCAACACCCCCCCCATCATTCAGGCTCCCCAACACCCCCCCATCATTCAGGCTCCCCAACGCCCCCCCATCATTCAGGTTCCCCAACACCCCCCCATCATTCAGGCTCCCCAACACCCCCCCATCATTCAGGCTCCCCAACGCCCCCCCATCATTCAGGTTCCCCAACACCCCCCCATCATTCAGGCTCCCCAACACCCCCCCCATCATTCAGGCTCCCCAACGCCCCCCCCATCATTCAGGCTCCCCAACACCCCCCCATCATTCAGGCTCCCCAACACCCCCCCATCATTCAGGCTCCCCAACGCCCCCCCATCATTCAGGTTCCCCAACACCCCCCCATCATTCAGGCTCCCCCAACACCCCCCCCATCATTCAGGTTCCCCAACACCCCCCCCATCATTCAGGCTCCCCAACGCCCCCCCCATCATTCAGGTTCCCCAACGCCCCCCCATCATTCAGGCTCCCCAACACCCCCCCCATCATTCAGGCTCCCCAACGCCCCCCCCATCATTCAGGCTCCCCAACGCCCCCCCCATCATTCAGGCTCCCCAACACCCCCCCATCATTCAGGCTCCCCAACACCCCCCCCATCATTCAGGCTCCCCAACACCCCCCCATCATTCAGGCTCCCCAACGCCCCCCCCATCATTCAGGCTCCCCAACGCCCCCCCATCATTCAGGCTCCCCAACACCCCCCCATCATTCAGGTTCCCCAACACCCCCCCATCATTCAGGCTCCCCAACGCCCCTCCATCATTCAGGCTCCCCAACACCCCCCCCATCATTCAGGATTAAGAAAGTTCCCTAAAGTCGACTCATTTTAGTTCCCAACCACCCCCATCTAAACATCGTAACTCATCTTACTTTCCCAACACTCCGCACTCATTATTGTTCCCTAAATTCTGTAATTTAATAAAGAACTTATTTTAATTCCCCAACTCCACACTCGTATTTTATGATGCCTCTGGTGCTCAGCCCCATTTTGAGAAAAAAAGTCAGAATTTTTTGAAAAAGTCAGGGTTTTGAGATTTTAAGAAAAAAGTCAGAATTTTTAGATCTTGAGAAAAAAAGTCAGAATTTAGAGAAAAAAGTCTGAATGTTCAGAAAAAAGTCAACACATTTTCTGTTTTTTCACGTTTCTGGTTAAACATTTCTTTATTGATACCCATACTTTGCTTTGGTGACAGTAAAACTCCTCGGGGTGAAATACAGCTAAATATCTCCTCTAATGGCACATTTCCACTGCAGGGCCTAGCACGGCTTAGTACGGTATAGTTAGGCCTTGGTAGGCCAGGCTCACTTTATGCTACGTTTCCATTACAGTTTAGTAGCTGGGGTAGTAACTATAGTAACGCAGTGTAGGCGGAGCCGTGACGTCACCTTCAATGAGAAACACAAAACCAACACAGCCGTTAGCTGTTAGCACTCAGAGCTCACAGCTCCTCATATCTGTTCAGAAACTAGACAGAAGTTGAACAAGTACAAACCACAGACTGCCTGTGTCATGGAGAATACAGTCGCTGCTTTATTTATGTCTGTATAGGCCGTTGTTGTGAGTGTGGACGGAGCAGCTACAACGTTAGCTTAGCCTGATCGATCCGATCTCCATTCAGAAAACACGCATTTTAAAAGGTGTCTCTCCTGCCGTCTGTCTGCAGACTTGTCAAAGCATTAATTCATGGTTGTTACTAACCGGTATCAGTATGTTGTTACTTCATCATTTAGAAACGTGTATTACAATTACATCACGGTAACATATGTTCATGTTGTTGTAGTTGTAGCCCCCTTGCCGTCACTAGTTTAGCATATTCAGCCCGGTTGTTGGCCCGGTAAGAACCTCGATTTTGGAGGGCCAGTAAAAAGGTGAAAAAGTAGCCCTGAGCCGGAACTACCCCTAGAGGAAACGCAAAGAAAAACGTGCTACGTGCTGCAGTGGAAATGCGCCATAACATCTTAACCTCCGTCTATAAAGTCCCATGATGCATCTGGTTCTCAGCCCCATGTTCAGAAAAAAAAGTCAGGATTTTGAGATATTG